GGGGGGAGGGGGCACGTGGGACGGGGTGACAACTGCCCCTCACACTGAAACAACGCCACGCACCCCGCGCACTTACATTGATTGTTGCTTGACAGACGAGGTGCCTTCTGTGGTTCCGTCTGCTGGACCGCCGCCTGGCGCCTCCCCTCAAAGCAGTGCACTTCTTCCTGATCACGTCTGCCTGGGACGCCGCAGCCAGCAGCACGCCCACTTGCAGCCGGGTCTGTGTCTCTCGACGCACTGAACGCTATATTTGAACACGAGACTGAAGAAGCAAGAGGCTCCGTGGGAGGTGAGAGGAGGGAGGGGATGGGGTGGGGTGAGGAGGAAGCGGAGCAGAGCCGGGAGAGTGGGAGGGGAGAGGGATTGGGGCGCTAGACAGAGGTCCTGCTGCGGGGTAGGAGGCGAGAGCCTGGAGTATTTTTAGCTCGTGTAATAACAGCCTGCAAGGGCCCCCCCCCCCCCAAAAAAAAGAGAAGAAGAAAACTTCGGCTACCGCGTCAAACACAAAGTTATTCTTTTTCGCGATGAGATACCCAGTTTGCTGAACTACGCACCGTTATAGTCCGGTACATAAGCGACGAAAAACGGCCAAAGTTTGCATTTTGTAGTAGAGCAAAACGGTTTGGAGGGTTTTGTAGTACACATCCAGGGGAAACTTTTCCGATGTGGAGGCAACTTCGAACCCGCGACTGGACCGCTGTACGGGGGTTGCATACCTGGCAGGGGCAACACGCAGAAAGCGCGTAAAACATGATTTTTTCGAGCATGTTCCGGGCGGAATGGTTCCACGAATGATTAATACAGAACGCGTAAAAATGGTTTGCCCCGTTAAGCGGGTTGCCCACCTGTAAGGCGTAAAATATCACAAAAACTTGCTATTAGCCTGAAAATCTTCTCCGTGGCAAACGTGCGTGAATGCGTATGAATATATGGCTGTATTACTGCAGGTAGGTGTGTGTGTGTGTGTGTGTTTTCACTCGTCAGGAAAAGAGGGGGGGGGGGTAGAACTCTGGTACGGGCGCACCTTACGGGCTGTGTAGGTTGCCCTTTACAATTGCGTTGTTTAGCAATGCCGGTTTGGGGTGCACAGCCATAGGCCGCGGGTCATTTTAAAGAATTAGTACCGCCTCGCCCCTCGCCTTAACACCTGTAATGGTTTGCTCGTTGCGGGTTGCATACGCCACAGGGGCAAAATTCTTAAAACAATCATAACCATTCTTAGGGGGAACTGATATTTGCCACAATAACTTCATTAGATTAAGAGAAGTATATTACGTACATTACGACTTTAATTGACCGGGTTGCCTACCTCTACGGCGAAGAAATATCGTAAAAAATAATGTTTTCGCGGTCAGGCGCGGTTTTATGGGGGGGGGGGCGAAGGGGCGATCGCCCCCCCCCCCCCCCCCCCCCGGTCGGTCCAGATCGCCCCCTGGGGTAGGTAGGCAAATTGTCCTACAAAACCCCTGAAAGTAGGCAACCCACAGCAAATCGCCCCCTCCGTCAGACAGACTTAAAACCGCGCCTGTTCGCGGTCTCTGGGAAAATTACATTGTGACACCGTTACACTCTACAAGCATGTATACCTCAAAACAACTGGCTATTCATTGATACCTGTGTCATAATACTGGTGTGCTGCTATAGAAAATCGAAGTAATTTATATATTTTTCAGATATATGTTTACGCCCTAGAGATAGGCAACCCGCTATAATCGCCCAGAATACGTAAATATATATTGTAAGTCTCATTTTTAGAAACATTAGGACCTAATTGGAGTCTAAAAAGTAATGATTACGCGAATTTTTTCATTTTGCCCCTGCGGGGTATGCAACTCGTTGCGGGCGGCCCAGTTGGAAAATAGAAGTGTGCAACAGTTCTTGAAAGTACCCTGTGGGTGCATACAACAAAACCACTAGACGGTTTCGCCAGAGTGTGAATTGATTACACCAAAAAGTACAACCTACGGCGAGTTTAGGGGCGTTTTGGCACGAGTGCCCCCCCCCCCCCCCTTCCCCACTTACTCACACACCTACCTCCAACATAACAAATCCCCGAAAGCACTAATGCACACTGTAACACGCATATTTGCCGCAAATAATATTTTTTTAAATGCTAGCCAGTTACGTGATATTTTACTCCTTACAGGTAGGCAACCCGCTTAACGGGGCAAACCATTTTTACGCGTTCTGTATTAATCATTTATGGAACCATTCCACCCAAAACATGCTCGAAAAAATCATGTTTTACGCGCTTTCTACATTTTGCCCCTGTCGAGTATGCAACCCCCGTACAGCGGTCCAGTCGCGGGGTAGAGGTTGCCTCCACATCGGAAAAGTATCCCCTGGATGTGTACTACAAAACCCTCCAAACCGTTTTGCTCTACTACAAAATGCAATGTTGAATCGCTTATGTACCGGAGTATTAAGCAGTTGCTGTCCAGGTAGCCCTTTGCGTCACAGGTTATTCCCAGTGGAGACAACACTCTAAAAAAAATACAAAAATCTGTAATTTGGATATGCAGTTTTTTCAGCATCCCGGATACAAAAAATTGTATTCTTTCAGATACAAAAACAAATTTATAATACGGATACAGAAATTTGTATCCATCGATACAGAAGAAAATACGTTGATGTTCATACTCCGATATGAAAGAAAAATATTTTTTCCTGCTGGTTGTCTCATTTTAGATGTTGCCCACACATGACAGGCAGTTAACTTTAAAGTTGTACCTTACCTAACCGGGAGTTGAACCCCGAGCCCTGAGCCGCGGGGGCTAAGGCGACTACCTGCGAGCAGCCGTGCTCCGACCCGGTGTCATTCTTCCCACGTCTTGGCTGGCCCCTGAGCCCTTCCCTTAGCTATCAGGCTATTAGATGGATTTGAAAATTGATTTTAGCGTAGATGGTGCTAGATTCAGTCTAATTGGTACTCATATCGTGTTCAAATTGAACGTTAAAACCGCAAAGTTTTGAACGCACATACAGATTGCTGTTTCCATGTTACAGAAATTCGTATCCCGTTTACAGAAATTTGTAATCAGATTACAGAAAATTATAAGATATATATAAAAGTTTGAAATAAAATCAAAAAATTTTAATGTTTACAAATTTTTATAAGCTATTGCAAGATTTTGTATCACCGATGCAAATTGGTGTATCACAATGCCCGGATACAGAAAACTGTAACAAATTTGATACAGAAATTTGTAATTTTTCTTAGAGTGAAAAACTTTGTTTTTCGATTTCCCTGCTATTTCTGACTTACTTATCACGACGAACTTTGTCCCGACAATCTAACGTTAGCCATTTATATTTATTAGAAGTCATAGTCAATTCATAATTATTGTATAAGTCATTGTATTGAGTCAAGTAGTCGTTTTGTTTCACGTAGTAGTTTTTGTTCCTCTTCCTGTTTCCGTCCTGTCGGTTGTTGTCTGAGAGAGAGAAGTGTGAAGCTGAAACGTTACTGTGCCATTTAACAACAATAAAACCCTGTGTAAAGAAGTTTTAAACCTGAAGCTTAATTCAGAATCAACCCCTAATATCAATAGTTTAGTGAAAGTCAACTTGTGTTACCCAGTGCTTGGCCGCGTTGTCTTGCACGTTTCGCTGGTTAGAAGCTATTTTTATTTGAAGATAGTGAAGTGTTTAAGTGAATCAAAAGAAATGGAAGAAGAAAAGTCTAAAGTAGAGAAGTTTGATGGGAAGAATAATGACAGTTGGAAGTTTTTACTTGAGCTTGCTCTGGATGAGCACGATATCAAGTACATCGTCGAGAAGCCACTCAGTGATTCAAGCGCCGTATGGTCAGCCTCAAGATGGAGAAACGGCGGCTCAGAAGTCAAGAAGAGAAGCAGAATTAGTCGAAACATCAAAAGATAATAAGAAAACAAAAAGAATTATAGCTGAGAGAGTAAAAATGGAACTGTTGGAAATAGTGAAAGGTCTGCCAACAGCTTAGGCCTGCGAAATGTGGAATGCATTAAAGGCACGCTACGAGAAGACCACAATGGCGAAATTGTTCCTGTTAATTTCAAAGATGTATTGATGGTAGACAATTTAAAATGCAATTTGATCTCCATTTCAAAGTTAGAGGATAAATGAAAATATGATGGTGATTGATGGTGGTAAATTTATGATTGTTAATAAGCATGACAACAAAACTGTTGCTATTGGAGAACGAGAAGGAAGTTTGTACAAATTAGAAATAATGTTGACTGGTTTTTGCAACAATGTGACGGTTTCCAGTGATTTGTGGCACAGGAGACTGGGTCACATTGGGAATGACGGGTTGAAGAAACTTGTACGTTGTGTTGTTGGAGTTGATAAAGTGGATCAAATATGTGAAGATCTATGTGAAATTTGTATTTCAGGGAAACAAACTAGTATTCCTCATACTGGTACAAGGGAGAGAGCCACTAGAATTCTGGAAAGAATTCATTCTGATTTAACTGGACCAATTACACCAACAGCATATAATGGTGTTAAATATTTATTGAGCTTTGTTGACGACTATAGTCATTTTTGTGTTTCCTTTGGACTGAAAGAAAAATCAGAAGTAGCTGCTCATGTAAAACAATATGTAGCAATGGCAGTAAGTAGATTTAACTGTGAAATTGCTCAATTCAGGTGTGACAACGGAAAGGGAGTACATTAATGAAGAATTAATTCAATTCTTTGTTGCTGAAGGGATTCAATGGGAACCTACGATTCCCTATACTTCAAAATTAAATGGTGTTGCTGAACGCATGAACAAACGATTAAGGATAAAGCAAGGTGTATGTTACTTGGTAGTAAGCTAAAAAAACCCTTTTGGATTGAAGCTTGTTTAACTGCTGTGTATTTGATTAATAGAGTCCCAACTAAGGCTATTGATTCTGACAAAGTACCTGCTGAGTTATGGTTTGGCACTCGTCCTAACCTTAAGAAGTTAAAAGTCTTTGGATCTGTGGCATATGTTAAAAAGAATAGAAATGAATTAAGAGGAAGATTTGATGTAAGAACCAAAAAGTGTATTTTTGTAGGGTATTGCCCTAATGGCTATAGGCTGTGGAACCTAACAGAAAATAAAATCAGTTCAGCTTGTGATGTAATTTTAAATGAGTACAAAAATAGATTTGATAGTAATACCTATGTTGATGTCTATGGTGACTTCCGTAAAGACTGGGAAAGACATGATGAAAACTGTGAAATGGATGAAAATGATGAAAATGAATACCATGAGAGTGAAGGAGAAAATGAATATGTCCAACTACCAGAAGAAGTATTACAGGAGGAGGTGCAAGGAGCAAGGAGGATCCAAAGAGTTACAAAGAAACCTACATACCTAAAT